TAGAGCAGTTTGTGTTTCTTACTTCTCTAGACTGTTCCCTCAAAGGCTTGTGTTTGGGTTGGCCTTGTGCTGCTCACCTGCCAAGGAAAGGACCTAAAACCACCCTAGAAAAGGGTGGCTTGTCCATAGCTGGGATCTTTGGTGCAGGTGCAGTGCAAATTAACTCAGCAGAGAAAACTTATGAGACAATAATCAACAAAAACCCTGTCCAGTGCTGCAGAAATGCCTTGTCCAGGCCTGAGATGTAACTTCTGATTCAGAAGCTGTATTCAATGATAACAAAAATTCAAAGACAGGAAATGTCAGCACTGAGATCCCAGAGTGGATGAAAAACAAGGGGAGAGTGTGATGAATGAAAAAGTAGTAGTAAGTGAGAGTTACCATCGTACAGTGGATCACAGCAGGGGACAGAATCTGAGCAAAATGATGGATGATTCTGTCTTTTCTGTAGTCACAGATGTAGCTGTAGAGGAAGGAAGTACAAAAAGTGCAAGGCTGGTAGTATTTTATGTCTACTTTGCCTTGGACTGAGTAAACACATAAGGGTACAAGACAACAGAATCAGGTTCTTAATAGTGTACACTCCTGTTTCCCTCTACAGGATCTGCTCATCCACTGGGGTCTTCTCAGGCAGAAAAATTTAAAAAAGACAAAATAAGTTGCTTAGTGGGAAAGTATTTCTGCTTATATTTCATTTTTGGCTGTCACACTGTTATTTAAAGTATTCTCGGCGTGTTTTAAGGCATGGTGGACCAAACAAGGAACAGATGTCCCCAAACCAAACCAAAAATGAGGCTCCTGGCAGAGTGCTGCCCCTCTCTCCTGACTGCCTGTGGAGACACTCCTGCTCTGCAGAAATTGCTGAGTAGAGATTGGTTACTCTATAATTACTGAAGGGCAGAAGTGTGCACCTGAGCAGGCAGGCAGGGAGCTGTGCCTGTGTTTAGCTTGCAGGAGCTTGGCTGGTTTATCGGACTCTCTGTCTGCAAAATTCACTGAAGGTCTGAGATGATGAAGTTCTGTGATAATCCAGTGTCACTTCCTTTGTATCTCTGGTGCCATGAACCTGTTCTAGCACCAGCCTTTTATGAATTTATCAGGGCAAACAACACCTTATGTTCTGAAGTAAGAACCAGGTATATTTATCTCCTTCCTCCTTTACATATAGAGATATAAACTGATTCACTGCCCCTTTTTCTTTTAGGTCATCCAGAAATCAGAGATTTCTTTACTCTGATTCACTTGAACATACACACAAAAATGAATCCCTGTTCTTCCATCCAGCAAGGCAAAGGCCATCCACACTCACTGTCTCTGCCTACCTGTGTCCCTGCATACCCTTGTTCTCTCGGGCTCCCTGACACTGCCAGAGAGGAGGAATATAAAGAACCTCAGTGAAGGAAACTCAGCTCAGAGCAAATGCCTGGTTCAACAGAGTGTTCCTGGGACCAGATTTTGGTATGGTTCCACTTTTTCATTTAAACCTTCTAAAACAAACCAAAACCAACCCCTCAAAACAACCAAAAAAGACCCTTTAAAACCCAGGCTAATTGAGAGAGTGCTAACATTAGTAAGACAAATGAGTGATACACGACAGGCCTGCGGTTTCTCCTCTAAAGTGAAGTGTTGTTTTCTTCACAATGGGATGATTAATACACTCAGGCAGGAATATTAATAGGCTTGTTCAGTTGTTGCAACACTCTTCCCACTGCTGTGCTATTGAGGCCTCAGAATCTGAGCCCAGGGGACCCTCAGCTCTTCAGTTCCTCATCTGGCACGTTCTGTATGTCAGTCTCCAAGCACATGTTGCAGTGAGAGCTGCTCTATCTCTGCAAAGTGCAGCTCAGCACACTTTGTGTGTCACAAGTGGGGAAATCAAGGCAGGCAGAAGTGATGTGTCAGTCACCCACTTGCTCCTCTGCAGGTCACCTCCTGAATCCTTGGCAGTTTAGAAACCATATGTCTGATCAGTTCTGTGATGTTCTTTTTAATATGCCGCTCCTTCAGAGAGATACTCCGGAGTCAGATCCCCGATTGTGTTCATTAAAAAATTCTGGAGCATTTGGAATTGTCAGACAGCAGCACAGACCTATTTCTGTTCTCTTAGAGCTGCCTTTTAATTCAAGTTACCCACCAGAAAGACAGTGACAATGTACCCTATTCTGTTCCTGCTCCACCTACTTACCTTTCATCCTTCCTCCTCAGAGCACCTACCTACCCACCACTTGTGCAAAATCAGGGTGCAGTTTCTTTCTGTGATTATGAATTTCCTGGCCTTTCAGGGCAGATAAACTACAATACTGGGACCTGGTAATCCCAGGTGCTCTATATAATTTGTGCTAAAAGGCTTAGTTTGACACTGCTGGTAGGAGGCCATTCCCACCCAGCAGCTGTTGTGAAATATATTGGTGGTCTCAGCCCCATTCCACAAGTGAACAGGTCATAAATAAGATCCACACCCAGAGCTACAGAAAAACTAGAGATAGATTGAGCAACATAGGCACTGATCTACTCTATCATCCCTGGAGAGGATAAACCAGAGAGTAACATTGAACAAATATGCTGGGATGAATTTCTTCTAGAATTTCTTCTAGGCTGAAACTAGATGATCTCTCCCAACCCAAGCCATACTATGATTCTATGGTACTTCAGTAATTGTTCCCTGTATAACCAGTTTTTTCCTTTGAAAAGGACTTCACTAAAGTAAAGAAACTTTTGGGTGGTTTTTGACTTGCTGGTCTGTTTCTAATAGATATTGAGCCAGAGCTTTTGGGTTTATCTGATCCTTCCTTACATCTACGATCCTTCCTTAAAGCCTTACAGCACAGAGAACCCATTAAACTGAGGACTAATGGAGGAATTGCCAGTGTTTGGCACTTCCAGGAGCTGGACCCCACTGCCCTGTGCTGTGGTGACAGATTAAAGAGACACAGATGGTTTGCTGCTCTGGGGAATATTTATCATGCTGAACATGGATGCTGCGTTTGGCCACAGCAGAGCAGGGTAAAGCATGTTTTATCTCCATCAAGACCAACAACCCAAGAGAAGAACCGCTCCCCCTCCGAGGGCGCGGAGGCCTGAAATCCATTCCACTGGGAACATCTGCTTCCCCTTTACCTCAGGGAACAAATGCATGTAAATACAGAGGATTGTTCCTAATATTTCCATTCGATCTGGAAGTGTTGAAAACCTCCACCAGGCACCTCACGTTATGTGGAAGATTACCCATGACTGCTCAAAAATAACACTTATTTCATGTGTAGGAGGAGGAGGGAATCTGTTTATTCCAAAATCAATATTTCTACATTCATTAAACATTCCACTTATTAACTTCTTTTTTCCATGCCTGTGGTGGCATTCTATCCTTGTTTTTATCCTTCTTGCAAATATATTTTTCATTTGATTTCCATTCCTATTTCCAGATTTTAGTGCTCTGCATTAGCTAATTGGAGCTTGACAGGTCTGGAGTGTGGGTATGTGCAAGAGTGCCTACCACTGCCCTAATTTCCCCCCATCCATATCCTGGGATCTAAACCAGGGTGGCTGAGTGCAGAAATCTGCCTGGCAAATTAAATTGATCAGACAATGTATGCTTCAAACAGAGTCAAGTGGGAATATTTCCTTGAGCTGCTCTGCTCCTCAGGATATTTGAAATCAGTATTGAATCTGAACTTTCACAGGCTTTTTTATTTTGATGAAAGGAGACAGTAGAAGTTGCCTTCTGTTTCATGCAGAATAGCCCAAACTAAGTAAGACTAATTTTCTGTGACACGAGAACCAGGTGGGACTATGATAATGAAGTTTAAAAGTAAAAATGATAAAGAAAAAAGTAATCTGTCTGGAAGGGAACTCAAAAGGCAATGCAGCTTATTATCCTGCCCCAAGTAAGGATAATGCTGTGGTTAAAACATTTCTGTAATCCTTAGAAATCACAGATTTTATTTTTTACTGCAGAACAAGAACTGTATTGTCTTAGTCAAGTTGGTTGGGCCCTTATTCAAAGATATTTAATGAAGTCTAGGTCTGACTGATTTTTAGGGAGCATTAGATTCTTAGATATCATTGTAGCTCTTTCCCCAGTCTTGCTCTGTCTCAGCCTCCAGACTACGGAATGGTGATAAAAGCAGTCCTGCCCTTTTATTTAAGATGACTATCTGGAATATTAAAATAACATGGTTTACTAAGGTAATGTGGTATAGAGTCATAGGTTGGTAAAAGAATATAGGTTTCAAGTGTAGAAGGTGTTCCTACACAGGAAGGATTAATCTGTTCAGTCAGTGTTGGTCCAGACAGAGCAGATTTCTAAACATTTCTGTGTGAGTAGGAAATGATATAATTTCCCTTTATGGTTCCTGAACTGAGTCTTCGTGCAGGGCCCCATTTTGCCTCCTGCTGCTGGTCCCAGCATGGGAACTGGGAAGAAGCAGTACCTGTAGGTACTTCCCTGAACTGCTGGAATTTCTTGAGAACAGCAGGTTGGGAATTCTACCTTATATCTCCATAAGATTACATCGCTGCTCCTGAAGCACTGAGCTTTGGAAAGCCAGTGTGGAAGGGGAGGTGTGTCCTGAATCAGATAGTCTGTAATCCATGAGGTGGAGGTGACTCTGCCCCAGGAACAGGCAGTTCCTTGGGGGAACAGGCAGTGCACCAGTCGTGATGTTGAGTCACACTTCGGGTCTCACCTTTTTAAGACAGCACAGTGACAGTGTCCTTGTTTATCTGAGCTGTCAGGTTCCAGAAGGGAATGATATCACTCCAGCAGGGAGTGATAAAAATCCTCAATGAGAGCAATTTTTATTATATATATACACACACATATCTTCAATCCTATTTATGTATATATGTAAGATTGAATCAAAAACCTTGTTATAACAAAGCACAATCCTCTTGTATTACTTGACTGTATATATTTTACTTTCTATTGAAGATGGAATTTGTTTTCATGGGTGCTTAACAGACAAAAGAATATATATTTGAACTTCTTATTTGTATTACAGGCTCCCAAAAAGGCAAAGAAGAAGATAGAAGGTGGTTCCAACGTATTCTCTATGTTTGAACAAACCCAGATCCAGGAGTTCAAAGAGGTGGGTCACTGTGCTGCTGTTCTCTATAGTCTCCTGTTATTGCTAATGAAGAACATAGGCTTTGTTTGTAATCCTTATTCAATTCTCCATCTGCTTTAATAGAACACACAGTTGTTTTCTGAATCATCCCTGTGGTTTTGGCTGGTGTATCATTTTCCTTGTGTGTTTGTTTGTTCTTTCTTTCCTTCTTTCTTTCCTTCTTTTTTTCCTTCTTCTGTCCCTCACTCCCAAGCTCCAGACTTATTTGAAAATAAGCCCCTGCTCCAAGATAAAGGAAAATTACCATCTCATCCACTTTAGACCTGATTCAGGAAACACTTGATCACAGTTAAAGTGGTATTTTAAATAAGAATAGTCTTACATGCTCAAGTATTATCCTGAATAGAGATGCCTTGTTGAACCAGGGCTTTAATCCGTGGTCTGTCCCACAACAGCAATAGAAAATATTCTTCTGTGCCCTTCTAATAGTGCCCACAAACTAGAAATAAAAATCCCAAGAAGCCCTCAGCTGACTTTCTCCACAAATGCCAATAAATGAAAACAACATGTTGAGATTAAGAAAGCACCTTTTAGCTCCCAAGGAATTTGGTATTCCACGCACTGCAGATTCTTTGAGCACAAGTAAGAAGGTAAATCTGATGGGCTGGCATAAAAGCTGGAGCATATTAAAGACAGAAAATCTGCTTGATAAGTTTATGTTCTTTTTCTGAGTGGACATTCTAGAATGTCTGTGAGACCATCACTGTCTGGATTGGGTTGTCATTTTAAATTATTGTCTTTCCCCCCATTTTTATTAACTCCCATCTCCAAAGCCATTTCTGACATGATAAATATCTACTGTTTCATTTTGTGCATGTGTCCTTCAACTTTCCATGAGGATTCCCACCAGGAAAACTCAGTGGTGGACGAGACTAAAACTCATACAAAGGACTGGGAATATGACCCAGCTAAATGGATTGGAACCACTAATCATTTCTCCACAGTCAATGGAAACATGTTTAACACTCTTCTCCCACCTCTTCTCCACATCCTATGAACCTCCATTTGACTTTCTCCAAGGATTACTGTTCGAAGAAGGACTAACAAACAGAATGCCATATTTGATCTACTCTAAATCAGATAATCCTGGGAACATTTCTGGGAGGATGGTGGCAGAATAATGGCATGAAACTCAAGACCATGTTGTGTCTAAAAACTGCATAGTTGGGACAAGTATTTCTGAAAAGCTGGTTTTGATCAGAACATTTTTGTCTAGAGATTTCAACCAGCTCACCAGCAAATGTTTCAGCACTGCTGTTATGGTATTTAAAGTTCACCCATTACAATATCTAATGCTCTTCCTGTCTTCTGTGAGCTTGCTGGGTTTTGCTTTGCTCTTCAAATTTTCTCCTGTTTTGCTTCCCAACTGTGGGGGATCACCATTCAAAGCAAGCCTTCCCCAGAGAAAGGAAAGCATCCCTAAAGTGTTGGGGTTAATTTTTTATAAGGGGATGGTTTGGCAGGTAAGTGAAGGATTATGGACATGGATGTGGCAAGGAGTCACATGGGCAAAGGGGAACGTGAGCAGTGGGGCTTTGTAAGAAACTGGAGGTGAAACTACATAAAGATCTGTTGATATAATACAACCAAGGAGAGAAATGCACCCTGTAGAGCAACAGACTTTAAAACCCTGCAAGTTACTGTTGCTATATTCTCAGGAGAGCACAATCTTTCATCATAATACAGAAGTAGGAATAATTCCTGGTCATTGCAAAGATACACTCTGATATTGATGTGCCTGTCAGACAGATAACCAGCTTCAGAGACATGCCTGGTATGACCAGGGGAATTTCAGGTCATTAAAATCTTTCCAAATCAATGAAACATTAAAAGTGTGATGGCAGCAAATAGAGGGACACACAAATAGGTAAACAGATAGATGGGCAGTTAGCTGGCTTGGTAAATAATGGTCAGAGAACATCAAGTCTGTGTTGGCTGAAAATAAAAATAAATTAACTGGCTTTTTCTATCAAAAGTTAAACTTTGCCTGACAAGAGTATTTAAGGACAGCACATCAGGGTCAGTCAGAGTACTGTCTCAAGGATATAGTTAATTGGAAAAGGGAAAAAATCTTTGAATAAATTATCCTATGGAACCTGCATTTCTCTGTACTTCTGAAAATTCAGCTCTCTCTGTATGATGGGCCATTTTAAGTCCCAGAAGGAATTGACTTCAGGTTGATAGCAGAGAGATATCTACAGAAATTAAATGTTTTACAGAACATAACTGCACAAAGAACGAGGCATGGGGAAGGTACAAACACACAGAGCGAGCACTGCCTAAATCCTCCCTGACTAAAGTCTCCCTAATTCAAACTTTTATGGGTTAAGGCCTGAATGGCTGGAGCTGCCAGCGTTGGCTACAGCCCAGCTGCTCGCTGCACTGAGCAGTAATTTAGTGAGAAGAAGTTTGGGTGGGTTTAATTAAAGCCCCTTGCCAACATACAGTAACGTGTTGAAAGTGAGGAGAGTGCAATGAGGTGGTGTGATGTGGAGGAATCAAAGGAAGTTAAAAATCCCTTTTCACTGGATGACTATCATACCCCCTTGGCCTGGTGTGTGTGATTGCAGCATTGTCCTGTGCAATGGTGGTGGCAATTCATGTTCCTTTTTCTTCCCCCAGGCTTTTACCATCATGGATCAGAACAGGGATGGCTTTATTGACAAAGCAGACTTGAGAGACACGTTTGCTGCTCTAGGTAAACTGTAATAATTAAAACTAATTGTTCAATACTTGAAAAAAAATGCAGTTTCAAACACCTAGGAAAGGTCTGTATTAGAATTACGGTGGGATAAGTGATGGAGATACACAGGAGGCAAATGGGAACCTGTTCAGTTTGACCTTCCTCCTGATGGCAGTTGCTGTCTCACTGCAGAGCTCCAGCTGGAAAGTCTCCTGAGCAGTCTCCTTGGGAAGAGGTCTGATCCCTCCCCTGCAACTATTTCAGAACAAGCCCACCCAAGCAGGGGTCCATGCCAGGCATTTCTGATTTGCCTCTGAATCCAGGCTTCCCAGGCTGCACTTTTTCATCTGGGAGCCATGGAATATCCACTGATTAGCTCTGCTGCCACGGACTGGCTGCCCCTCTGCCCACACAAAAGCAGGAGGACTTCATGTGAGGTTCTGTGCTTCATGCGGGATGAAATGTGCACGTCATGGGATTGGGTATTGTCCATTCCATGCCCATCACAGTCCTGATAATATCAAGCAGATTAGAGCAAATCTTCCCAAAGAAAGGAAAAATTAAAATGCTCGTGATCCCAAACCTGGAGTTGTATCCTGGTTGCAACATCTGAGGCTTGAACAGTGATGTAGGCATTTGGGATTTTGCCATCTGGATCTTATTAAAACGAGTTTGATAAGAATCTTTAGTGCTCCCCAGGGTGGAATCAGACGCCAGCAGAGTCACTGCAAGGAGCAGAACCTCTTGAACTCTTTATTGTGACAATGAGGTTTGCAAACTTTGGCCTGTAGCTACTGTTACCCTGAAATATTTATTTCTTAAGGCCAAGTTCTGGTGTCTTTCCTGTTCAGTGAAGCCCTTCAACAACTATAAAGCACAGTCACAGCAAATTATCTCTCAATTTGAGACGGGTTGCCAGGGTCTAAATTCTCATCAGTGGACTGCACAAGGATGGAGAGAGAATAGGACTACTCAACTCATCCATCTGCCTTCTACTCAGTGAGGTGTCTCAATGCACAGGAGGGCAAAGACTGAGACCTTGGATTCACTTCATCACTTTGATCTCTGCTATATTAACATCAGTGGGGCCCATATTTCACCTGAGGTAAAGCAAAACAAACCAGAACAAAACAGGAGTTTATTTGGAAGCGCCCCTTCCCTCGTCCACTGCTGGCCATGTCTGTGTTATTTATCCTCCCTACTGCTTCAGTCACCCTTTGATCTCAAAGTCAGCTCTGCCGATTCCTTTTCCACTGGGGTGTTTGGGAGTTGTGTTCTGCCATGTTATTAGCAAAGTTGCACAGAGCCCTGAGCTCCCCAGTGGGAGGAGATGAATGGGAATCGTTTTTTGAAACACAATTTGTGATTTATTATGAAAAATGATCTCTGCTGCAGGTCGTCTGAATGTCAAGAATGAAGAGCTTGAAGACATGGTGAAGGAGGCGCCAGGTCCTATTAACTTCACTGTCTTCCTTACTATGTTTGGGGAAAAGCTGAAAGGTAAGCACCTCTGGGGGATTGGAGAGGTATCTGTCAAAGCTCCTCGGCACTGAAATATCTCAGCACCTTGCAAATTATAATCATGTACCCGCAGAGCAGTGCTCAAAGGCAGGGAGTGATCTCCACCTTTGCAGGCAGAGCTCAAGTATGAAAGGCTAAGGGACGGTCCAGAGGACAGTTCAAAGGTGTGATTCAGCTTACACAAGCTCACATGAAAGTGCTAAGCTGAGGTCCAGAAAGCAATGAACCCCCAGCAGCCTGGAGCACGGGGAGGGGAGTTCCTCACCATCAGCAGCTTCCCAGGCTGAAGTCAGTTCCTCACAGTGTTAGCTGGTTTCAAAGCATTTTCTGTATTTCCAGAGAAAAGCCCCTTTTTACAGTCCTTTGGCTCATTAAGCAAACATGATCTCTGCATCCTCCTTGCAGTTCCAGGGCATGAAGAAGAACGTGGGCTTCCCTATTTTCTGTATTAGTTGTAACCCAGTGGCCCAGCCTTGGTGTCACTTAAGTCAATAGTGATTTTGCCATTAGGTGAAGACTTCACTTAATGAAATAATTAAATCTCAGTGGATTTGCAGTGGTAAGGGAGAGGGATTTTACCCATTGCTGCAGAATATATAGGGATCACTGGGGGTAGTTCAGAAAATATGGGTACTAAATTTGTTGTGTGAGCTGGTAATTTAGTCAGCTCTCTCCTGCTCATGGCTAGAAACTGCAAGGAGGGGGTGAAGCCAAGAGAAACCATCATCTTCCAACATGCATTAGAGAAAGGCGAAAGCCTTGACCTTCAAAGCAAGGTTGGTCTTAGCCAAACACATTCCAGAAGTTTGTTAAAATAACTAATGAACAGAAAAATGGAAAAATCCTATACTGTCTTCTTAAAAGCATTTGTTGTATTGTTGCCGGATTCTGGCTTTCCATTGCTGAACATAATTCCAGTGAAGGGCTTTCTGTGCTTGGAGTAGAAAATAGAGAGGCCTGAAAGAAAGAATTCATGTAGTTAGTCCTTGAAGAAATACACTCTTGCTAAAGAGAAGCAGGAGAGGGGATGGAGGAGGCTGTAGATGGACACAGAGGAAGGGATTTTATTACCCAGGCATCACTCTGTCTAGATAAATATGGTACCTACACCTTTACATTCCAGATGTCAGCTGGCAGAGAAGGCAGTGCCCTCCTCCACAGTTTTCCTTCTGGGATATGTGACTATTTGTTGTAGGGTGCCCTGCTGCCCATTCCATTTGGGATGCTCACAGAGAGCATGGAAATGAGCTCTTCTTTCTTTCCCTCTTGTCCCTTACAGTTGCTGAAGCTGGCAAAGCCTCTGGCCCTGCCAATTGTGTGGCCTAAAAGCAGAGCCAGCACAGGAAGGTGAATGGCAAAGCATAACCCTCTTGTCTGCAGGTTTCCTGTTGGCTACTTGCAGAGGAGGAGGGGTTTTTTAATTTCCATTTGGTGAAGGGAAAATCACAGCTGTGCTTGTCATGCCCTTCTGGTTGGGTTTGTCATGCAAAGGAAGCACAGCCAAAAGACTGCACATTCCCAATCAAAACTAATTGGGATGAAGAGCCTTTGTAGTGCAATTAGAAAGGGAGAAAGGGCTAGAGGAAGTGGATATGGCAATTTTGCAACACTCTTTATTAGCTAAGTACCACTCAGAGAATTTGGTGAAAGGTGCTTTCTAAGTAAAATTTGTTGTGCTATAATTGATTTCTGTCATAAAGGGGAAGCTGGGATTTTCAGGATGAGCTTTAGCTTTGTATGTTGAGATTATGATGCCAGATGAACAGCTAACAAAACTCGGTTTATGTTAATGCCAACCACATGGAGCTGTTTCTACAGGGAGTCAGAATAATACAATTTGTACAGAAAACAGAGATGCCGCACATCAAAGAAACCACTTTATTTACCAGCTAATCAATAAAGAATGCCTGCTGCATTGCTTCTCTTCAAAGCCAAAGTCCAAGGATATGACAGAGGAGAAAATGTAAAACACAGTGAGGAAAAAAAATCCCCCCCACAGTGGTGAGCACTTAAAATGCAGAGCTCTCCTCAGAGCTAGGGGACGTTTCTCTTCATGGGACAATCAAAACACTCATTAAACACCAATGCTCTTTGTATCGATCACAGATTCATTGCAGTTTGAATGCACTGCCTACAGCTTGGCCAAAAAAATACACATGGCCAGTGCGTGACAAGGAGGAGGCCGGAGAGCCCGAGGTTTGTTACTGTTCCATCCACCAGGATAGCACTGATCCTGGGGAAATCTGAACAAAGACAGCTAGGAAGGCATCAGGAGTGTTTGCAGCCACTAGAGCAGAGAACCTTGGCTGGGTTCTATCTCTGCCAAACTTTGAAACAAACTTTGAGCCTGCAATTCTTTGTGCTGTATCCTTTTTTAATCACTCTTTCGGTATTTCAGTTTCCCAAGTAGCTTCATTTGTCCACGAGGTCAGTTTACCTGCTTGTAACTTTGGTTTCCTACAGCTGCAAAGATTTGTGTTGTATATACTACCATAATATTTTGAAATATTGTGGAATAGTCAGAAACAGAGTATACAGTGTATTCTTTGGAGCGGGTTGAGACTGTGAGTGTACTGAGAATCTGCAGTATTACAGCACAGTCAGAAGCCCCAGCCAAGATTAAGGCACTGTGAAAGCGAGTCCCTGACACAAATTTTTTCCAGTCCAAATAGATGGAAGAAAAGCAAGACCATTACTATCATTTTACTGCTGGGAACAGAGGGACAGGGATATTCAGGTCACACCAAAAATCTGTGGCCCAACTAAGAGGAGAAGCAAAACCTCGGAGCCATAGTCTGGTGCTTCAAACCACCCTGTTTCTATAAGTCACACTTAACGAGGAGATGTTTAAGGGGAAATAAGTGCAGATCACCATTTTACATTGATCATCCTGTTTCCATTGAATTCCATTGGCATTTGGATTTTATGATGAGCTCCATTTCCTTTAGTGAGGGAAATAACCTCTTCTCTATATAGTGAAGAACAAGTAACATCAAAAAGTGTTTTTACAAGGAACGTGCTGTACAAGATTAAAGGAAGCCAGTGAGGGAAACAGTTTGTTATATTTTCATTTCTGAAAGCCACTAATCCTCTGGGTACTGATATTGGAGACCAGTTCCTGGAAGTTTTCTCTCCTGCAGACACAGAATAGATATGAGTTATTATTTTTAAGCTTCTGAGCATTGAACTATTCACCTCTATTGTTTATCTGACATGACAAATGCTGCCGACTTAAGGAACCTTTGTCTTCGAACCCACAACTGCAGAATTCTCCATTTTGCACTGTTTTCAAGTGAATGCAATTACTTAGCAAGTGTTCAGCAGCTAGAGAAATACATCCAGGCTCCTAAATTATGTTTCATTAATTTCAGGCACGGACCCAGAAGAAACCATTCTGAATGCTTTTAAGATTTTCGACCCAGAAGGAAAAGGCCGCATAAAGGCAGACTAGTAAGTTTATTTCAGATCCTTTAAAAGAATAACAACAATCCTAATAATTGCACCAGTTTAAAGAACTGCTTAAAAGCTGTATTTTTCATGGTGTTTTAAGAGACAGAGGAACTGTCAGGCAAAGGAACATTTAGCTTTGTAAGCCGGAGTTAAAAGACTGGACTATTGTATGAATGTATTTGTATACCAAAAAGAGATGTTATTGTCTTCAGACATTGCAAGAGTCAACGGAAATATAATCACATGTAGGCCATTAGATAGCCTTTTTTTGAAGGTCTGGGTATAAATCAACACATGACTCTTTGTAGATTAACTCCATATGTCAAATTAAAACCAATGTCTGGTGCCTAACTCTCAGAGTGCTTGACTCAAATGGGAAGCTACTCCCCCCTTAAAAAAGTGATCAATTTAATTAACTCTGTGACATGGTTTTAGTGCAGGACATTTTCCTTTTTATGTGTTTATCATTTGAGCCTTCTGCCTCCAGACGATAACTTGCTGTAAAATTCCACTAGTATGGTGGGAGCCAAACCTAATAATACTATTAATAATCTGGCAATTATTGTCAATATGGCTATTTTTAAAATAAGGAGGCAGGGCCTAATTTGTATTCATAACCTGTTGCCCCAGCAAAGCAATGTAAAAGGACTTTAAGTGCTAATTGCACAAATGTAAACCCTCATCGCACTGCCAGAACAGGACTTCAGGTAAGTGAGATAAATGATATCAAATCAGGGCAGTGCATGGGGAGGTCTGACTTGTGGTTCTAGAGAAATGCTTTATGTACCTAAATTTATGCATATGCTTAAGTTTCGTGTGAATTTGAGGTCTATACTTTTTTGCAGCAGCCATTTCAGGTAGATTTTATAAAGCATGATATGTATAGGAAATTTATCAGGGAACCACAACTTACAAAACTGTATTTGCCTCAATTAATTCTGCAAATGTTGTGATAACCTCTGAGTAGAATCCCATGGAGGTTTCCACGATATTATCTGCAATTATTGATGTCTCCTGGAAGTCAGTTGAAAATATAATATTCCCATACAGTATTTCTTTCCTTTCCCAATGTGCTGCTCTGTGACAGTCCCCCAGTGGGTGTGAGAGCTGTGCTGTGGTGTGCAACGTGCAAAATAAAAGCAAGGAGACAGTCTTTTCACTAAGAACTTCCAAATTAATTAAAACACAAGTGGATGTAGCAAACAATCAGAAGGAACAGAGGGCTAACAGTTGTCCTGATGGTTTTGGGGTTAATGTTATCCAAGCAGCTTGGGAAGAACAGTCAGAGGATCATATCATATCAAACAACCAGAATAAATGTAGCCTGTTGCCAGCTAGGGCAGATCACAGGGTAGTGAAATCACAGCCGTGAAATACGAACTTCTGATACTACAAACCCCATGAAATGTTATATTTCCCACCACTATCTGTAACAATATCCTGCATACAAAATCTGCAGCTTGCTCTGTCCAGCATTACATTCCTTGGATGCTGGAAGCCAGTTGGAGTTTGGGGCAAATCAGGAATGCAGCATCCCACTCCGAAATGAAGATGAGAGAGAAATACTTTTATTTTTCCTTGATGGAAAAGGTCAACCTTGTCCCCACCCCCACTGCACTGCTAACATTAGACAATTGTTTTAGTTCATCACCACAACAGAGCATAATGTTTACTTATTAGACCCGAGGGTAATGTTGATCATTACAGAACAAACCATTAAATCAATTCTGTGAATGTCTTTGAGGTTTAACTTCTATTCATATGCTTCCAAAATTTAGACATTTGAAGGTTTTGAAATAATTTTTCTGTTGGCTCATGCAGCCGTTTCAATATGACTGTTAATGTTAATAAATAATATTTCTCCATATTAAAAAATACTGGAATGTTTCTCTCCAAAACCAGCCATGTTGACCTTTTAATCAGAACTTCTTTTTATGTTCATGGAGTTAACATCCTTCTGGGGATTTTTATGTCTCTTCCTCTGCGTGTTTTCACCTCTAGTCTGGAAATGACTCACTTGGTCCATCTGATGGTAGCTGGGATGGAGCCTTCTAACCTTTCCAGAAGCTCCAGGAGTTTATAACTTACTTCCAAATTCACTGACGGACTTTGTTTGTCTGCATCATTATCCCCCACATGAAACCCTTCCTAGAGCATGATGTCAAAAAGAGAAAATGCTTTCGGTCACATTCTCAGCTGGTGTGAACTGGCACAGTCCTTGGAAAGGTTGGATGATTCAGTCCCAAATGCCATCCATGGGACAAAGTGAGTCAGGCCAACACCAACTCTGCCCAGTGCAGATGCCAACAAAACTGTTCCCACTTGGACCAGGTGAAAATGGACCCAGGGAGATGAAAGAGGACCTTTGGAGGTCCCTGTGGCTGAGCCAGTGACGCCTCTCATCATAGCTGTGGAGCTCTGCTCCTTTCAACTCACCTGTTTTTCTCCAAGACACCCCCGTAGAAAGGGCAAATCCAGGGGAAAACCAAAATGTCCTGGAGATTTTACAGATAATTTTAAAAAAGGTTCTGAAAATATCAGAATGCAACAAGGTATTTGTAACTGTGGAAGGAGCTGATGTAAGCCAGGACAAGAGATAGCATTTAGACTCCTGCCCCAAAGCACATGGATATTCTTTTTTGCCCAGAAGACTTTGGGTTTGGTTTGATTTTGGGGTATTTTTGAGAAGCAAATAGCCTTTATAAAGAAAGCAAGATACGCAAAGAAAAAAGTCCATCATTTCTGGCTTTGGAAATTGTGAGTGTTTGTTTCCCTATAAAATAAATAATGGAAAATGTGCATAGACCCTTTACTCAGTCCTTCCTCCTGATGAGTGTGCCAGAGCCTACTGGGCTGTGCATCAGAAGATTATAATTAGATATTTGATCTTTTCCCCTAAATACTTTAAGCATGTGAATGGAAGACATACAGTGCCCAGATCTCTTTTTAATTCAGTCCTGTTTGTGATGAAGCTTATTTGTGACTTCTGACAAAACTGCTCTGAGTGCTTCCTTCTATTCCCCAAGCTCCTTCCCGGATCACACTTCCCATTTACATTTGCTAATGCTGTTTGCCCCCCTGCACAGGTATCCAATAATCAATTTGTGCTGAGGAGAGTGAGGTCTCTACTCTTGCACCCACTGATCAGCTGAGAATTTGACTTCAAAAACGCAGTCACACCCCGAACAGCCGAGGGAATAAAACACAAACAGCAATTTGAGACAAAGAAATGAAGAAACTTTGGTGAAGTAATGCAGGAAAAATATAAACAAAAGCTTAAGCTCTGTCTGTGACTTCAGAGTATTTCCCAAAACTTGCACAGATATTTTCACACTAGTCCTTGTAGGTAAAATCCTTATTCATTACCCAGAAACTTCTTTTTTCAGCTTTCCCTTTCTGAGCTTCCAAATGAGCACTTCCTATCAACAAGAAGGAAAAAAATATGAGTCAGAGCTCTGAGGAAGTGCTGCTGTAGCTTTGCCATCCAAACCACACTTTTATCTGGGTGACTTTTCCCACATGAGATGCACAGTGCATGGGAGCAGAAAGGGGAGATTTACTGTGTTACCTGAACATCTGCATCCACAGTAGGTGAATTTTGCTCATCTGGAAGTGTTCCTGGTCAGGCATGATTTCTATTACAAATAGTTGGTTTTAAATATTCCCTTTAAGAAGGAGGAATAAATACTCCCTTTAAAAAGCAGAAAGGGCTGCTTTCAGAAGAGCTATTGCTCTCACTCTCCCACAACAAAATCTTCAAAAAAGAAGCCTTTTTTTTTTCAAATCTACAAACCAAACCAGATTTCTATATTTGCTTCAGCTTTTGTTTTTGTACAACAGACTGCTCAGCTGTTATCACAGCTTTTGAGTTTGCTTTACTGATCCAGAAAAACTTCTGATGATGTATAAATACCTTTGGTAGTAACAAAAGGAGACAACTCTGCCTCTGCAGCGTGAATGCAAACTGTGAGATTAAAAATGGAATTCTTTTACAGGAAGGGGAAATTCTTGGTGCAAGTGAAAGAGATGTTTTGTGTGATGTAACCAAGTTCATAGTGGTGGATGCTGCAGCACATGGTGCATGTGCTGCCCTCAGCACACGAGTAACTGGGTAGGATATGAAGACATTTTATCTAAGGGGGTTAGACTAGAAACAGAAATCATCTGCCTGGCTTTTCTGTTCACCTATAAACTTAGGTAAAAAAATTAGATGCTCAACTGCCTTCCCACAATGGGTTTAAAACAGAGGGTAAATCAGCTGAGAGTCAGCCCCAAAACTATTCTCTTTGATGTAATTGCATGGGATGCAGATTGTGTGTGGGATAAGCTCCTTGTTCCAGTGCTGTAACTCCAGCTCGAGACGCTGCACCGTGGAATACAACAGGTCTCATGCAGTTCCACAGCCTCCTCTGGGAATGACTGCATGCAAATAAAGGGATTCGCGGATGATGATTTGGAATAGCTGCTGGAGTTCTCTTTCAAGTCCTCTTTCTCATTTCATGCTCTGTTCCTTTCATCCTCGGATTTTACAGAAAATATTCTCTCTTTTGGTTTTGTTAAGTGATCCGAACTTTAAACAGCAAGTGAGGAAACCTACCACTTTAGGTTAAGATAAGCATACAAAATTGCTGTATTTCAATTAGAGTAATAACCTTAAACAATTTTAAACCTCCATAAAATGTCACAAAAGCGAAATAAGTTGGCAGAGCGAGGCATTGACACTGATGGGTGCCCACAGAAAATCTCTTACAATATCATGTAAGGATTAACAGCTCTAATTTATGCGGTCACACAGATTTCCTTTCATGCAACTTCAGGAAGGATCTTGCCATCTGAATTGTCATGTGCCATTATCACCCTTTAATCAGGTTATTTCATTTTATTTGAACAGCATCAAAGAAATGCTGATGACACAGGCAGACCGGTTCAGTCAAGAAGAGGTAAGGAACTGCTTTATTCAAACCAGAAATCTCTCTCCAGCTCCTGTTCAGCACTAAGTCTTTGCCCCTCTTTAAATGCATGAATTCAGCTGAAATCCAGACTGAGAGAAGGTTGATGCCAGCTCTAGCAATTAGTAACAATTCAAAGCCTCTCTTCTGAAGAGCTCCATAGCTAAATCAAAGTCAAAGAGATTCCTTGGACTCCCATCCAAGTTAAGTGTGGCCTATCTCTTGCTGTTCTTTCCTATGGTGAGCTGGGCAAGGGATTTACTGCAGCTCCAGCGAGTTTGGGTGGGGACTGAGATCTGGTTTCCATTTCTGTGAGTTATTTTGTTTGAAATCTGAAATGACTTCTGAAATGAGGTACTGACTTTGTGGTTTGTGTGAGACTGAACATGGATTCTACTGGCTGGGGGGAGTTCAGAAGGACTTTATTTTCAGAAGAGGAGATTGAGTGGAGTTGGTTTGTGGCAAGAACAGACTGGACAGCCTGTTCCAGTCAGAACAGCAAACTGGACTGGTTTGGACCAGGGCTTACCTGGATTTCTGGGAGAGCTCTTTTCAACAGGGATCTTGTTGGAATTCGAGCAGGACTTTATTAACTAGTTGTGTTCTAATTCCTATTTCAATTTTACTGAAGTTAAGGAAAAATTTTCCACAGTGGTTAATGGATCAGGGCAGCAGGGAGCTGACCTGGGTTGAAAACAAAAATCTGCACATGTTGCTGTCCCACAGTCCTAACTTTGTAACACTTATCTCCTGTTTGCTTGGCAGATCAACCAGATGTTTGCTGCTTTCCCTCCAGATGTCTCTGGTAACCTTGACTATAAGAACCTCTGTTATGTTATCACCCACGGTGAGGAGAAAGACTAAGAGCAGAGAGATGAGCTGCTCCTGTGGTGCTGCACCAAGTTATTTCATAATGCCTTTGTATGCAAGACAAAGGGCTAAACATCCAGTATGTGAAGCCATGTGGTCATCAGAAGAGAACCAATAAAACAATTGAAATTAGATTAAAGTTATTTAATGCTCCTGTTTTTATAAAATATCAAAATACCGATTTTGTGAGGGTTTTTTTCCCATCCTTTTTATTCTCCCTGTCAGTGGTTTGAAATGGAATTTTGTTGATGAACTGGTGCTTTTTTGATTTATTGACAAACCTAATGTTCACCAGATGGTCCATTGGGCACTGCAGCATTGCTTAACCTCTTCTCTTTTATACATAAGCTCCACGTATTAATTGAGAAATCCTCTAACTTATTGCACCAGGAAGAATATCTGGTAAATAGAATTATGTTCAATTTCACAGCCCCTAGCAATGAAAGTGTAAATAAAACAATCTTAAGTTCTTGTGAATATGCAATATGCCCTCTCCATCTCAGTGATGTGGTCAGTGTTATAAACCACTATGCTCATTTGCCTTTGTGGAACAGAACAGAAATAGTGGATTATTGGCTATTTTTCTTATAGTAAAATTTACCTGGGTGCACTTAGAAACCAGGAATAATGAATTTCCCTCTTCAGAGGCTCCTCTATTGTGTATGGGAGATTGTCCATGAAATAACAATAACCCCTGGTCAGTCACCCCTTGGCCATTCTCCTCGTGTCACAGGTGAGGCACACACTGGAAGCACGTGTTTAACCCAAGATCATCAAGTTTAGGGCCAAAGGGAGGGATTGAGGAATCGTGGCCCAGGGTGACACACGAAAGCAAACTACCTCTCACTTCAATAATCCAAGATCAGCCCAGTTTCTAAAATGGGCTACAGTTTCTTGTATTTAGACTTCTAGGAATTGGACATATTCTGCCAGTGTGGAATATTGCATGAACACTTCCTGCGTGGGAGTCAGGAGGACGTTGCAGCCAAAGGAAAACAAGCTTCTGCTGTTTTAACAGCTAATGAAAATGCTTTCCTTGTGCATCAGTGCTGCTGGCACCACAGACACTGAGAGGAAGCAACAGGTTATTATTTTCTGTTTCCATCTCAGCCTTTGCAGCAGGAGAACTCGAGGGCAACGTGTCAAATTCTGCCCTCACCAGGAGGGACAGAAATTCCATGAAAAAGCCTTAACATCTGCATGACTCAGGGATGTGACCTTCATCCCTACCTGCATTTTCTGTTGTTCCAGCAAACCCCTGCATTCAGTGCACTTCAGTAATAAAGAACAACTGGAATGAGAAGGCTTTTAGCAAACAGAAAGTTCATAAAATAAATCTCACCCCAACGTGCAAGAGACCTTGTGCATATTCCCATTTTTCTCATATAACAAGTTGATCCTCAGTTGCATCTGCTTGTAATTATCTCCCTTGAAAATATCAGTGGACACAGCTAGACGCAAAATTCAGCCTTTTCTTGCCTGAATCTTGCTGGAGATGTAGAGAGGGCTTTAGCACTTCATGCCACATGTTCCTGGAACATTTGAAGAAATGAATAATCATACAGACCTGTCCCTCCCAACACCATGTGCAGCTTGACTGGGCTTTGCAGGCTCAGAAAACTTCATGCCATGCAAGAGTCCATATGACCTCTTCTTCTACCCCAAGGCTCGGGAGCTGAGCTTTCCTCCACAAGCCTGGTTCCTATCCCTGTTTCACACAATGACTCTTTTCTCCCCAGAGTGTTTTTATTCGCAGGTCCATGACCACTGCTGGTGGGACGGGGTTGTAGATCAGCAACTGGAGGTCATGGAGGTAAAACATTTTGGGTGGCACAGTAGAAAAGATGATTTATGAGCTTCTGCTTTAGGCTCTTATGCAGACCCAAACAAGTGACAGCTCTTCTCAGCAAAGAACTGCTGCTGATGGGAGAGGGCTGCAAAATGGATGTTTCTTTCACAGACTTCATGTGGAAATTTCTTGAGAGGTGGGTCTGGAAAATGCTCTTCTATGGCACAAACACGTGTGCAAAGTCCAGTGCTACATTGTATGAGCTCCACACCATCACATTCCCGGCCAAACGAGTACTGACTGTTCCACTAATATGAGCTGAAGTCACTCAGGCATCAGATGTCAAACAGTGCTTATGGTTTTTACACTGTTTAAAGATTTCAGAATGAGACTGAAGACTAGATGAGATGGCACACAGGCTTACCTCTGGCCTTTAATCTGGAGAGATTTACTTTTCCTCATGCAAGCTGGTAGGCAAAAACTTTGAGGATAATGCTCTTGAAAGATGAGGTCACATTTTTCCATCAAAGCATGCACAGTTTTTGATGGGTCCTTTTTCATCTGTAACTGTTACATGACTTCTTCCAGTGCAGCTCTCTGACATCTCAGGGTGGTGGGAGTCTGGTCTGAGCAGTTCCACACTTTCCCCCTCCCCTTGGCTGCACCCACTCCCTCCCCCTGGCCAGCACTAGAGCTCATGCACACTCAGCAGGTGCTCACTGAGAAGAAACCTCATTGCTCTCTAAATTTCCTTTCTGGGCTCTTGGAGCTGATTACCACCTTTGGGTTTGCCTTGTTTGGACATCGGTGAGGTCACTGTCCTGATGCCCACATTTCCATGCCCTGCTGCAGGCTCCCTGTTCCTTAGGGAGCAGCTGCTCCCTAACACCTGCAGAGGAGCAGGGGCATGGAGCTGAGGGCAGGATGGAAAATAGGACCACCTCAGTGTAGATAGGTCAAGCCAGACTTTATCACAATGAGTGGTTTGTTTTAAAGCACTGCAGTTTTGAAGCAAATCACTTGATTGTCCCTGCTTAAAACCTGGGTAGCTTTTTTTGGAGGAAGCTCAACCAGAGAGTCTGCTTGAAATTCAATCCAAATTCCCTCCAGTTCCTGATGGGGACCAAAGCAGGGTGCAGCTGTGATGCCCTCCAGCAGCCACCAAACACTGATGCACCACCAGAGTGCTCTCAAGCACCCAGAGCTCTCACGGCGCTCTGAAGTGGTTCCTGGGCTATACAAAGCCCCAGGTTCCATCTGACTCTACCTGCCTTCAGGCTTTTTGTACTTCTGCTCCTTCCCTGTTGCTGCATTTTTGTCTTTGTTCAAAATCCAGAATTTTGGCACTTCCAGGGCAGTGCAGCTGAGGTGCCTGTTACAGATTGCTTGAAGAGATCTTTGGGTTGGGCTACACCACCAAGCTTGTACTCATTTGGATTTCTGCACCTTGAACCATCATGCAAGAGGGTCTGGAGCTGTAACACTCCCATTCTATAAGGGGGAACATCTTAACATGCTCATATGAATATAATGAAAATATTAAAGATTCTTAGAAAAAACCTGTATCAATCCCAATTTCATTTCAATCTCCATTTTGATTTGGGGACATAGAGCTGTGCTCGTGGGGTTTAGGTGCAGATTCAAGTAAGGGAAGGGAACAAAGAGCTGAGATTAATCCCACAAAACAGATTCTCACCAAGCATCATTAAAATGATCAGATAGGGACTGAACTCGCATGAACCCTGACAGTTGCTCTTCAGTGTCAGCCCTTTCACAAACAATTCCTGTTTGGATGGGAAAAAACCAAAGAAACAGTGTAGAATTGGTAATGTGTTTTATTAACTCTTAAATGTTTAATCCTGTAAACCTTCCTAAAACCTCGTGAAAGGGCAGAGCAGCCTTTGAAATACACTGTCATAAAAGGCAGGAAAGGTTCTCATGAGTTCCCCCAGCTTGTTGTTCTGCTTAGAGGCAGGATTGTTGTTAGAAATATTTGTCTGACCTGTCTAAACTTTCTAGGTAGCCTCAAGTCCAAAGCTAGTCTTAGATTTATGCTTTTTCCCCCCTCCCATCCAACCTAAATCTTTCTGTCTGCAAATTAAGCCAATTTCATCCTTTGCATCCTCTTTGTAATGACGTGAGCACAGTGGAAGCCTGGTTTGTTTTCTTTTTTCAGCATTCTTTTTCTAACTTTTCCTCTCAGTGACCTTTTCTCCTCTGCTAATTCTTCTTGCTCTCTTTAGGATTACCTTAAACTTGTGCATATTTTGTTTTGAAACATGGTATGCCAACTTGGACACAAAATGCCAGCACCAGCAAGAATGGAATAATTATTTCAGAGGTTGGTTGTCTGTAAAACAACCAAACAAACCAATCCCCCTGTGGTGCAGCAGCACTGAATGTATATTTCTAGGCAATGTGGGTAAAAGTTGATTCCAAACCTCTCTTCCTTAATAACTGCTCGCTTCTGATCCCCCTGTAACTTCTTCTGTCTCCCAGAAACTTCCTTAGATCTGATTCCCTCTGCCTCTGCTACTTTGGTAATGTGCCAGCACAGGTTATCTAAGGACATACCTTGAATTTTCACTGATGTTAACAAGGTGTAGATGGTCTGGAGTGCCTGTTTTCTGTTTGAAAACAATGCCAAAACTATGTAACATTATCATTAACGACCTGGGTGATGGACTGAGGACAACAAATCCATGCTCTTCCCAGTGGTGTCCATTGACAGGATTGAAATACAGGAAAGTCCATTTAAACCTTTTTGACTGTGATGGTCATCAAATATCAGAACAGGGTGGCCAAACAGGTTGTGGAGTCTCCATTGCTGGAGATATCCCACACCCAGCTGGGTATGGTCCTGGGAAACTTGCTGTAGCCGATGCTGCTCTGAGCAGGAGGTTTGGTCTAAACTCCCTCCTGTGGTGCCTTCCCACTTCAAACCCCCTGTGGTGCTGTGATGTTACACATGTCAGAGCTGTTAGCACAGCCCTGGTGACACTGGCCTTTTAGTGGGTTGACATGTGATCAATCTGTGCTGCCCTTTGAACCTCGGATCCTTTCCTGAGGAACTACAGCCTGACCAATTACTCTCTGAATTCTACTGGTGTCTTTCTTCTGATGTGTAACTGATCTTTAATTCCTTCTCGTTGACTTTATATCTCCCCTTCAATTTAAGGCTGTTTGAAATTCTATCCCTGTCCTCCCAACTCCACACAAGTTGCCTCAGCTTACTGTATATCATCCACAAATTTTGTGTGTTCTCTGTTTTGTCCTCCAAATTGTTAATATTGAACAATATCTCACCCCAGGACGGTCTCATCCTCCTCCTTTTCCTTCTCCCTTGTCATC